TTGAGGGTTGCAGGAGGATTGGGCAAAACTGGGTGGAAAATGGTCTTTTCCGGGACATGGAAATGAGATTTTTTTTTTAAAGATAGTTTAGTGTTCTCAGTCTCGGGCTTTTTCCCCCCAAAATAGCCTTGGCCTCTGGCCTGGTTGGGATTGGGGCAGAGATGGGATAAGCAGCGCTTGAGGGGACCGCTGCGGCCTTCCCACGCTCCTCCGGGACGCCTGGGCTCGGGGAGGAGGCGGGGGACGGGGAGCCACCCCCTCCATGGGGGGTGGGGGGGGTGCCTCCAGCCTGCCTCATTAGGCACTAAATCATCAGGTCTGGACCGGTTTCCGTGGAGCCCGGTTGGCATGGCAACGGCGGGCTGGTCTGGGAGGATGCTGCAGCCTCAGCTGAGGACCAACAGCTGGGGGGAGGGGGGGTCCTTGATTGATGGGTGAATTTTGGAGGGGGGCAGGCGGGACACTGAACACATACAGGACCCAAGCCTCCAACACACACACACACACACCTCAGACGTCCAGGACACTGAATATACAGGACCCAGGTGTCAAGGAGATGCACACACACGTACACATACACGCACACCCCCCCCCCATCATTGGGTATATGCACACACTTCTGCACCCTCCCCACACACATGCATGCACATGCATGAGCAACACACACACGCCTTTTACTTGTCTGCCAGAACATGCACATACCCCCAACATCGGGTGTATGCACACACTTCTGCACTCCCTGCCACACTTTTGCACATGTGCACACACACACACACACACATGCACACAAGTGTGGGCTTACCCCCCTGATCCCGGGACAGGAGAGAGAGCGTGGATAAAAACCCTTCAGGAACTAGAAGGTTTGTGGCCCCGGGCTGGGGGCAGAGACTGGGAAAGCGGGCACCAGCCTCTCCGGAGGTCCACGGCAGGGGTCGATCCCTGGGTTTGCAAGGCAGGACCAGCGACAGACTGCTCGGCAGAGCAGAGACGCTGCATTGAGACGGGGGCAGCGATACCCCCGGGCAGACACACCCCAAACCACCTGCCCTGACGGGCTCCGCGTGAGCTGAGAGACCTGGGAATCACCGCTGGAAACATCAGCTCAGCACCCGGGCGACGGTGCAACGGCCGCCGACACGTTCACGGGGATGAAGGGAGTCGTGACTGCAACGGAGAGGATCTCTTCATCGACCCACAGTGCGTCCACAGCTGCGATACGGCGCCCAGGCCTGGGCCCCGCTCCTGCACCGGGGGGGGGAGACGGTGCAGAGAAGGGCTGTGAGGGCGATCGGTGCCGGGAGGGAGGCTAACGAGGCCAGGCCTGGGAGTGTTAGGAGAGGCGCTGGAGAAGGGACAGGACAAGGGTTTATAACGTACGAAGTGGCGGAGAGACGGTCCCGGGGGATCGATGTCTGGCAAGAAGCAACGACAAGGGGTCCCGGCGCGAAGCGACCAAGCCGGCAGCGTAACACCGGCACCAGGACAGTCGTGTCCCCCCACCCGGGGCGAAAGGAAACCCGGGCAGAGACATAGGCGGGCCAGGTTTTGGGGGTAAATGTGCTGTCTTTTATTAGACCAGCTCAATAGTTGGAAAAATCGCCCTTGGCAAGCTTTGCACCAGGCATAGGGCGACGGGGCTGATCCTGCCCCAGGCCGGGGGGGCGGGATAGGTTGTGACCCCTGGGGGTCCCTTCCAGCCCCACGGCTCTGGGACTCTGGAAGAAGGGGGGGGATTACAATAGAAAAGACAAGGGAGGGGACAACATGGAGGGGCCGCGCCAGGAGACAAATGCAAACCCCTGGGAACAAGGGGGGACAAGAGCGAATCCGGGCCCAGAGCTAAGAAGCGGCCGTCCCTGTTGAAAGCGGCCGGATGGGTTTTTCCTGCAATATTTCGCCGTCAAACTGGGTTCCAAAAATTTGCCCCCCCTCCCCCCGAGCACAGCAATCTGGAGGCCGGCGATGGAGGCGTCTCTGCACGGCCCACGTGCGAGCCGTGGTTGTGCGTCCCTCCGCAGCGAGCTCATCCCAGCTGCCCGGTGTGGACGGAAGGGGTGCGGGACGCGGTCAGGGACAAGCATCATTGAGGTGCCAGTGAACGGCCCACAGGGGTTGTGTGTTTGCCTCAGTTGTGTGGACGTGCCAGCACATGGGCCCAGTGCGTTAGAGCGGGAGGGTCGGCCACAAGGCCGGGGGCTTGGGGACGGAGAGTGCGGGAGGCTGGGGCTGGAGCCCGTTGGACGTTGGGGGTTGTGTGTGAGTTGTGTTGGGGGATATGTGTGTGTGTGTGTGTGTGCGCGCGCGCGCACTGTGTCGTGGGCGGGGTTGCATGCAAGTTGTGTCGTGGGTTGTGTGTGTGTATGTGTTTCCAGGCATGAGCGCTGTGGCGCCCAGCTCATTTTGTAGCTGGACACCCATTTTTATGGCTTCACCATTGCTTTGCACGCACGCTCGGGCCCAGCAACTCATGTAACTCACCATTCAACTGTGCAATGTCGGTACTGTGTGCCAGGGACCGGAGTGGCTGTGA